CTTGCATAGTTGCATAATTATATAAAAAAAATTGTTCAATTAATGTTTTATGTGTTTTTATAATGAAAATACGATTGTATACTTTTCTTTATATGATTCTTCATATAAGTATAGGTTATGCAATTATGCAGTTATGCAAATTTGTCTCGATAGACACTTACCTCCTAAAAGACGATGTAAATTAGGTCAATTTTATGTAATAATTAATTTTGTTTCCATTAAGCTTTAAATACAAATAATAATTTAATGTCGCAACTTATATATAATAATTTAATGTCGCACTTATTACTTTTCCAGCAAAAAATTAATTGTTTATATATAAATAAGAACATATATACACACACATATACGAGGGTAGTCTAAAAAATTTTGAGCCTAACATAGAAACAAGTATTTTTTCAAATATAGTTTTATTTTTTAACATAATCTCCTTTTAAATCGATACACTTTTCCCATCGATACTCTAACCTCTTTAAACCCCTCCAAATAGTAGTTAGCGTCTTGCTCCGCAAAATAGGCGTTTACGTATGCGATGACCTCCTCATTCGATGAAAATCTCTGTCCTCCAAGCGAAACTTTAAGCTTAGGAAACAGGAAAAAGTCGCTGGAGGCCTGATCTGATGAATACGGTGGGTGGTCAACCAATTCGAAGTGCAGTTCATGAATTTTGGCCATGGCGACCGCCGAAGTGTGAGCAGGTGCGTTGTCTTGATGGAACAGCACTTTCTTTTTCTTCAAATGCGGTCGTTTTTTTGCAATTTCTGTCTTCAGCTTATCAAGTAATGATGCGTAATACGCTCCCGTTATTGTTTGATCTTTTTCAAGATAGTCGATACACACAATTTCGTGACTATCCCAAAAAACAATCGCCATTACCTTCCCAGCTGATGGAACCGTCTTCACCTTTTTCGGAGCAGGTTCACCCTTTGCAGTCCACTATTTTAACTGTTTTACTATTTTTTACTATTTTACTATTTTAACTTTTCTTGTCTCTGGAGTGTAGTGGTGGATTCAAGTTTCATCTACAGTTATGAATCGACGCAAAAAAATTTGACTCGTTTCGCTTGAACCGCTCCAACAGGAAATCCCTTGGAAATGTTCATTCGAATTCGTTTTTGGTCCAAAGTGAGCAAGCGCGGCACCCAACGCGCGGATAGCTTGCGCATATTCAATTCTTCAGTCAATATATGACAAACGTATTCTTTCGATATGCTCATAGCCTCTGCTATCTCTCTAACCTTGATTCGACGGTCGTCCAGTACCATTTGATGAACATTTTCGATGTTATCAGCGGTGGTCGCAGTTTTTGGCCGTCCCGAACGCCCATCATCAGCCAAGCTAGTACGACCACGTTTAAATTCAGCTGCCCATCTTTTTACGGTGGCAAATGATGGGGCAGAGTTCCCCTAAACAGCGTCCAACTAGATTTTAATTTGCGCAGGCGTATTGCCTTTCAAATGTAAGAATTTAATCACGGCACAATATTCAATTTTTTCCATTTTTACAAAAACACTGACATCGACTGACACAAACGACTGTCAAACAACAACTGAGCATCCAAAATGGCTGAAATTTTCACAAAAGTCTTTCAAAGCATATTGCAAAACATACTATTGTAGTACTAGAATTTTGACGTCATCTTCATATTAAGGCTCAAAACTTTTCAGACTACTCTCATATAGAATGAAAAATAGATGAAGACCAAACTAATTGGGACGAATGGATTCCATACGCGATGTTTACATATATAATACGACATATATAATCGCATACCGCGACGAGTTATACGCCGTTCGAACTAATGTACGGGCACCGAGCAAGTCTACCTACGGCACTGACGGCGTCGCCAAAACCGTATTACACGTATGAAACTACGCGCAAGAAGGAACGACACCGCTGCCACAAATCTGTTGTGCCGCTCCAGGCGCAACGAAGGGGATAGTGACGGAAGGGGAGAAGTAGTCCCACAGTTTTTGAATAAACACCTTTTATTTTACACTGGATGTTTGTTATTATCGAATCACTCGCGAATTATCATATTTCCTTGATATTCTTACGCGTCGGCAGTGATGCTAGATTCAAGACGAGAGTTAAGAAAAAGTCAGGGAGTGGGGATGCCGCACACAAGGAGAAAGCATGTCCGTGAGAGTTCGGAAGTTCGGCCAGCGTCGGATAATAGACGAAGCTAGCAAACCTAGTTCTGACTCTTTCGCTCTTTATTCTCACAACTAGCCTGCTCGTTCGGCGATTCTGATTTCTGACCATCGAAACGATCGCGCTTTACGATATAGGCTACGTCCGCTTTAACGCTTACAGTTGTAAGCATTATATTAATAACATTGACATACAATGTTCGTTATATTAAAAAAAATCGAAATTATATTTGTTATTAGAAAGAGTTATATCTATAATTAGAAAATAATAAAGAATAGATATAATAGATAGAAAAATTAGAAAAATAAAAATTTTATTATATTTTGAAAGATATCTATTAGATTCGGAAAAAATTAACAGAGACCGACTGGATTTGAACTCGGGATCCCTCGTCTACCAATCCGACACTTAGTCTGCACGACCACGACGGCTCCTCGGCTCCTCTCTGTTAGCTGTTTATATTCCGAATCTCTTTCATGACCGCTTACGGTCGTCTAATTCTTACAATTTTTTTGTATTTTTTGCACTTTTTTGTATTTTTTATATTTTTTAATTTTATTTTTTATTATATTTTTTACACATTTATCTTTATAACAAGTATAATATGTGCACATTAAAACAAGATAAAGTCTTGTGCAGATGCGATGTTCTTTATAAATATTGTATATTATTTAAACTTATTGCTATTATTATTATTTACTATTATTATTAGTATTTATTTAACTTAATGCATTTGATGAAACACAAGCAATTATCCTTTTTATTGTTGCATATTAGATGAAGATGGACCAGCATGTAGGTGAAAACTTTTCTTTTGCTTTACTGAAGAAATAAGTATATAATTTATCTGTCGACATAAAAGATAAATGCTTTTCATCGAGCTTCATGTTTAAAGCT